ATTTGGCACTGCAAAGTCGATTCCACTTTTTCGGAAAAATCTTTTTTAAATATTTTAAAAATTGAAATAATCTAAAGAAAAGCAAAAATTTTATCAATTGATTTTTGTGAAGTGTAATCTTTATTCAAAAAAAAATTATTACAATTCAAGGGTTTGCAGTCTTTTTTCTTGAGATTTGTTCCTTTTTAATTTGCCTTTTTTTGTTATTTTTTTGTAAAAAATTTTCCTTTTAAAAATTTTTTAAAAGTCGGATCGGAAAAAATTCCTAATGTATAACTTTACAAAGAAACCGTAATCGCAGTGGGTAGTTGCTATAAGTAATTAGAATAAGGTAAAAATAGGCCTTTTGACTACAAAGGTGTTTAACACGTTTTATAAAAATTTTGATTTACTTTTCAAAATTTTATCATTAAAAATTCGTGAATACATATATTTGTTGATTAAAACTGTTAAATAAAAAAAATTTAAATACAAGCTCTTGCCATTAATTTATTTTAATTTTACAAATGGAAAATGTAAAGGATTAAATGATTTTAAACTTTTTTATCCATTCACATCAATCAGTGGAGTAACGTACCCATTGCGGGACAAGATTCAAAGGGGCAAAGCCTATGGATTTGCAATCCTTTATAAGATCCTTGGGGCCCAAAACCCGACTTTTTGCAGGGACTCTAATATTCTCTGTTACGCCACTGACATCAGTGTCTATTATTCAGTTGAAGCTGCTATATTTATGATCAGATATACTCAAAAGAATTATAAATTGTGAAAACTTTTGCCTCTCATACCCCAAATTCTTGAATTATATTGTGTTTCAGACAGTTATGGTCTTGCTATTCTTTTAAGTCTCTTTAACAAACACAATTGTGTAGCCTCGGTAAAAGTTTGTTGCTTTGATGTTTTCAAATTGTGTAGCCATCATGTATTCAAGAAATGATATGAATTTGTTAATGCATGAAAAGAATAAACGCGAAGCAATCAAATTATTACGCATAAATATTTTAATTTTGGCTCTACTGGATAGTCCTGAATTATAATAAAAAAATCCTTTATCATTCCAATGGGAATAAATTTTGTACTCTCATTATGTTTTTAAGGCATAATCATTTGCAAATGTGGGAATCAAGGCTACTTGAAAAACATGTTTAATTACATATAAGTGTTTTGATGTCCTTTTATTACATCTACTCATTTTTCCGGTTTGATATAATTCCTATTTAAGATTCGGAGTGGAGCATTTAGTAACTTTTTAATTGCTCATGTGTTCAACCTTGTGATAGTTAGACTCAAGTCAAAGTATGATTTATATCACACAGTTTGGTTGTTTTTATTTTTTTTTAGAGAAATAATTTTTTAAAATGGCGAAATTTTTACAATTTTGTTATTTAAGAAGTAGTAGAAAAGAAATTTTGTTCATTTGTATGAAACGGTAGAAACTGCTTCACATTACTGAATTACGTGATTCTTTACTAAGAATTCTGTTGAATGTTAATGAGGAACATTTCATTATAAAAACAAAACGAAAAAAAAATTCTCAAGTTATTATGAGGATATTAACTACTATTTAATTTATTATATTTTATTTATTTAATTTTTAATTACTTTATATACTTTGAACCTACTGCTTTTCAATATAATACAAAAATTCTCTTCGTTCAATTTGATGTATAAGTGCCAAGTGGTGCACACAATGGGGGTGTCCTAGGGGTCCGGACCTCCCCCAAAGCCCTTGATCTTTTACCGATTGATTATAATTTTAAGTATATAATAAGTAAAATTTAATTAAATATTTGTTTTTAATGATTAATTTTTTTAAATAAATCAAAATTTTTTTTTTAAATTTTGTTTTTACTGTTTTTTCCCCAAAATCGACAAAATAAAAAGGGCATGATAAAGAATGGTAAATTTTGCCCCTGGCCCCCCCTTGGAATCTGTGTCCTACTGATAAGTTTTGATCTTTAAAAAAAAGTTGGTATAAAAAGACGTCGGAACAGTATTTAAAGTCTTTTTTTTCTCTACTAGATTTCAAGAAAAAAAAAAAAAAAAATTGAAAAAATTTTAACATTATTATTAAAAACTATTATTAAGCACAAAAAAAGGGTAGAATGGCGTTTTGATAGATTAAGGCTTATTTACGTCTCGGGTACAGCAAAGCAGTGGTGTAACGGGTAATATTGCCCCCCTCCCCCCAAAGTGGGGTTTTGAGCCTCAAGGATTTTACAACGAATAGTAAAACCATAGGTTTTGGGCTTCCAAGACTCCTGCACCCCCCCTTTGGCGATGCGGTGATGTACGTTACGCCACTGGTATACAGGTTGTTGTACTTCAAATTTAAACCCAGAAAATTTAAAAAACCTTTTTGGGGTTTCCCCTAGATTTACCTGAAGATGGTTGATGTCTTAAATCTGTGAGGGTTAAAAATATACTACGTGGAAGTAGGATGCCCCCCAAATACCACCCCATTATTTTTCCCTCGGTTCAGAATTGCTAAGTCAGTCACCAATAATTCTTATGTTTATTTCAATGCGATTTTATTTTAATTTACGTCACCCTCTGAGGTAACACGAGGGCTGTTGGTGACAGACTTCAAACTTCCACACCACGCTTACGGGAGGACTTTGAGCCTCGCTAGATTTGACGTTCATCAGTGCTTCATCATGGTGGGTCCTTCTGTGCCCGGGGGTTTTTCGCCCCGTGATAACAACGAAATCACGGGTTTGCGACCGTGTTTACCCCGGATCCTCGGCTACTGGGGTTTTTAGGGGGTGCGACGTTAATAAAAAAATCAGTTATCCATTAAATACAAAATTATAAAAACCCGGGTAGTTACTGGGGGAAATTCCTTGAATTTTATATCGGAAAAACTCTCAGTACCCTGGAAAAGTGAACTTACTACCAAACAATACATACATTGTTTACTAACATCGCACTGCGAAGAAGAGCTATTGGCAATGGACATCGAGGGTGTGGGTACCTTGTGGTCAGGTATCGGCCCGAGTTCAAGCCCTTACCACTAAAGCCCGGGGTGGCCCGGGGGATGCCCGTTAAAAATTTCGAGGCTCAAACGTCACCCCCCAATTGGGGGGTTTGTGGTAGTTAAAGGAGGTGCCATCTCAGGTGTCGTCCATGTCACTTGACCATGATTCAAAATTACGAAATTCGTCGCCAAAACCCTTGTGTAGTTGAACAGCGTGACGTTAATATTCACTCACTCAATGGACATCGAGGTCCATTGTTAATAGATATTAACTCAAATATTATATAATTTGTTTTAAAATTACAAAATTTTAAATTAGTTCCCGTACTTTACTTTTTTTGGAGCTTTGGGCAAAATAAATAGGAATAAAGATAATTTTGGCAATAGTTAATAATCCCATAGGGGCTAAAAAAGGGTTTTAAAGAAAAATGGGCTTATAATTAATGGTCCAGAATATTTCTAAAACTAGTCAAGAAAAAGGGAAAAATCCCAGACTATGCGGGGCACAAAAATTTTTTCATGTGGGTGGCCCGAAAAAGAGAAACAAAAGTCCATCTCAAAAGTCATGGAAAATAACTGTGCTTAATGGATCTTTTATCTGAAAATTGGGGCCCCGATAAACCAAAAAGTTGTGCTCACGAACTTGTGGCCGGCGTTGTCGAGGCAGATTCAAATTCAAACCCAAATTTGCCCCGGTCCACCTTTTTAAAAACCCAAATGCGCTTTTTAATCTGTCGGGGCCCCAAAAGTCCTTTTTGGGTTTTTGTTAGAAGTTGGGAAAGGAGGGGAGGAGGAAAGCTCATTTGTTTTCCCCGGTCCCGACAACTTTTCAAAATTACGAGGTCCGCTGCCAAAATCCTAGTATAGCTGAACAGTGCGACGTAAATAAATACTCACGCACTGAGTTCGACAGAGGCAAACGGAAGCAATAATTTTTATATCCTAAAGTAAAAACTTTTTTATGTATACAAACTAAAAACCTTATTTTACATTAAAAGCTATAATTATACCAGATTTAATATACAAACTACTAAATACTATGTGAACTCATTTTTAAAAAAAATTCAATTTTTTTTTTTTTTTTTTTTTTTTTTGTATTAATTTTATTACAATTAAAATGAATTGAAATTATTTTTGTTGAAACGCATTAATTTGGAGTACATATAAGCTGCTTTAAATTTAAATTTTGAAAAAAAAGATTTCCATCGGATTTCCCAATTTAAAGGGGGTTTCCCCCAATTTTTTTTTTAAATTTGCGGTTTTTTTCCCCCACGGGGAAAGGGGTCCGCGTCGCTCGCTTGCGATTTAATGACGAAAGACATTTCTGACCTGACTCCATCCCCGTGTCCCAAAAAAAACTTTTTTAACCGTTACTCCAAAAAACCTGTCTTGGGTATGCGCGAGGAATTTCTTCTCGGGGAAAAAGATTTTTTATCAGATGGAATGAAAATTTAATAATGCGTAAAACGGATTCTTTGTTTTAAATACGGAAATGAAGAAAAGTAATGCGAGTATGTAATAAATGTAACGTAACAATTCCCCTTTTTAAAAAATCCCATCCAGCTTATTAATTTAAAAATTTAGGGGGAATTTCCCAAATACCATTATTTCTGTTTGTAACCCCAAGTAATAAAAACGAGTTCAATGCTATTTATAGATGATGAATGAAAAAAAATTTCACATATGTTTGGGGTAATTTTTTTAATTATTTTTAAAAAAATACCCAGTATAACAGGTGTCATTTTTTCAATTCCTCTCTCCTTAATATTGGTTCACTCTCTCCCTACATATATATATATATTTATATATATTGTTCAAATTTTTACTCGTTAATAAAATACTTTTTATTCATCCATTCAAGTTCAAATACTTTTTTTTAAAAAACTTGTAATGGATGACACTTGATGTTCATACAGTTTTTTCAAATTTTTATTCATTAATTAACTTAAAAAATGAATGAATAGTTAATAAACAAAAATAATAGTTCAACAGCATATATAGAAAGGAAAATCGTTCGTTGTGTCCCTATAGCGCAATGGATAGCGCGTTGGACTTCTAGTCCGAAGGTCGGGGTTCATTCTCCCGTGGGTTGGCCTAATTTCTGAGAATGTGATTGCCTTTTTACTATATGATTTTATTAGAATAATTAAATTTAATAAATAAATAGTAAGAAACACACACACACAAAAAAAACAAAAAAAAATAGTTTAACACCCTATATAGAAAGGGAAATTTAAAATTGCAAGGAAAATCGCTTTCTATTTTGTTGCGATTCTGTCATATGTATATACATATTTATATCAATTGCAACTATTTAATCAAAAGTAACTAAGATAAAATTTTTCTTTTTGACCTTAAGTAGGAATTGACCAGATTTTTTTATTTATATTACTTGTTGTTGCAATGTATTCAAGCTCTATAGCGTTTTCATAATAGCCTTGGAACTGTTTCTGTTTATTTTTTTTTATAAAAGGAATGATACTCAGACTTAAAATTTTCGAATAAAAAGATATTTCGGTGTTAATTTATAAAGGTTATAGCGTATATGTTTAGTTTACTACTGATAGATTATATAAGAGTTGTTGCATTACGTTATGTGCATACTGATGTTAATCATATATTTTTTTCCGTTTTCGCATATAAAAACAAGCAAATTTAGAGCAATACTAAAATCAAACATAGTATAGATTTTACACAAATAATGAAATTTCAAAAATTCACGTTTCAATCTGTTAAAATTGATAAATTACATTTTTCGAAGCTTAAAATCCTCACGGTGGTGTCGTTTGGAAGCTTAGAAAAGTGATGCTAATTAAAATGTCATCCTCATCCTTTGAGCGTAGTTCAAAATTACGAGATCCATTACCAATAACCTTCGCTTTTCTGTAGAGTGCGACATTAATGAAAACAGAACCAAAATAATGGAACAAATAATTGTGTGTATGTGTGTGGATACAGAGGCGTACACAAGAGTGAGGTTTGGAGTTCAACCCACTCCCATAGACAGATTTTTAATTTTTAGTATTAAAATTACATCTCTGTATTTTTGTCTATATAAATGTAACCCCTCCCTTGAAGGAGAGGTACGCCACTAACCGGATATTTCTGTTGATTTTGTTCTGAAAGATAGAACCTCTATCAATTTTCAAAAATAACAAAGGAAGGGAATTGGATTTGTGGTAACCCTTGACATGTGGAATGTTTTTTCCGGTCAAGGGATTTTAGTGTGCACGATATGGTAAGGGGTCAAAAGGGGTTTTGTTGTTGAAGGTCAGAGAAAGGGATAGCATATCTTCCTGCTTCTCTTACGTTTACTGTTAAATTTGATGTGATACTTAAATATTTATTGTAATTTCTGTTTATAATATAAAAGTTTTGGTTTTAACTATCCATTATCCTATTCGTGATACCGAACAATGTTATTCTAAATGCTTCTGAATCTTAGTTTAAAGAGTTTCTCTAAAATTCGCATTATGTACGAGACTCGTTTGAGAATCACAATCCTGTTCTCTCTTTTATAGCAATTATTGAAGGTACTGAACGTGTAACGAGATTTCTGAATTTTCACGTTACGTAATATTATGTGGAGATTAAAAAGAAAGAATTTTTTTAGATAAAGATCCCTAGATAATATAGGTGTAGTTTCTATCATCAAATCGTTGCTCAGAATTACAGAATCTACCATCAACTATTGTGCAGTTTTCACCATTCGAGGAAAATTAAGTTCGATACAAGCTTGTCTTACTTATTCGACGAACTTCATTCTTTTTTTTTTCTTTTTTCCAAAATTATATTTTTTTAGATGGATCTATAAAATAATTTTCAATTGTTAGAAAAATAGAGAAGCTTCTTTTATACAAATTATACATGAAACGCTCTGTACAAATCCTTACTAATATTATAAACGTGAAAGTTTGTGAGGATGTTTGTTACTCTTTCACGCAAAAACAACTTAATGGATTTTAATGAAACATTACAATAATATAGCTTATACATCAGAATAACACATAGGCTATAATTTATAAAGATATTGTGTGAAGTGTCCAAAATATAACGATAGTTGTCAAGAAAGTTGGAAAAAATTCTGCCATCTGCAAAAAAACCTGCGACAGCATATATCTATCTTTTATGTGTGAAGCAAAACTTTGCATTTTGTTTTGCCTACGCCAGGCGCTATGAACTGCGAAAGCTTGCACAGGTGGAGTGCGAGGCTGATTACAATTTTAACATAAAGTAAATACAACAAAAAGTAATGTTAATTAATTACACTTCCAGATATAAATTATTTATACTATTTTAAGCGTTCATTACACAAAATTTGTAACAATGTGTTACTTTTGCCGAGAAGAGATCAGCTTAGGAAGGTGTTTTCAAAAATCGACCTACAAAAGAGTTATAAATAAAATAAAAAAATCCTTTCTAATAGTTATAGATCTAAAGACATAATATTTAACAAACAGGGTTTTTTTTTATTCAGCTGAGATTTTCAAGAAACTTTTTTTGTTGTTGTTTAATTTGCAATTCACGTAAAATTAACTCATTAAATACCTCTTTATCCTTCAATCTGTATCGTTTAATTTTTCAGTTCACCCGTGCGAAGAACGGGTATAACAGTTAGGACTTCAAGTTCACTTTTCCTCCTATGATTATATGAGCTTTAATTTTTGTTTCATTCAAATGAAACAAAATTATAGTTCTTTATCCTTCAATCTGTATTGTTTAATTTTTCAGTTCACCCGTGTGAAGAACGTGTATAACAGCTAGTCTACAATAAAGTTAAGACCAAGTTCACTTTTCCTCCCATGATTATATGAGTTTTAATTTTTATTTCATTCAAATGTGAAATGAGTTTTCATCACAAGAAATGTAATGTGTGCTTCTTCAAAATAGGCCCCATTAACCCGCTTATAATGATGGTAGTGTAATAACTGGTGATTATGGATGCTCTGCTGAATTTTTCGTTCTAATGGAGTACAGAAAAAAAGAGGGTTTACTGCTCATAAAATCTTATTGGTCATCAAAGAGAGAGATTTTTTTCAATGCAGTAAGATAGGAAAGCTCTGTACCAGTTTTCGGGCGTCATCTCGTTAGTTGAATATGGCTAAAAATTTGGAGTAGCTTGAGTGTGGAACGTTACTTCAACTTATCTCAAGGAGCTATTTAAATCCATATTCAATGATGCTATAGTAAAAAAAGTAAATATTTTTTACAGTACTTGTGTCTTGTAAAAGAATTCTTGCTTCTCAAATAATAAAAGGCAAGTTCTTTATCACCTTAATTAATAAGATTTTTTTTGAGGAAGAATTATAAGCCAATTGTTTTGTTTGAACCGTGTAGCAACGCATATATGTAACATATATTTGTGTTTCTGAGAAAAAGTTTTTTTATATATATATTTGCGTAACTCCTCTGAGACTTTTGAAAATATTGATTGCAGCTATTTCTGAAATGATAAATGTTTATCAATATTCCACTGTTAAATTTTTTTAAGTTTTTTTTTTTGTTTGTTCTAAAGGAAACATAGTATTAGGTGCTTTTTGCATTCATTTTTGCTCTTTGTTATTTTTTTTATATATTTTCATAAAACCAATTTTAAACTGCATATTTTTTTACGTTTATTTATTCTAAAAGATCGTAAATCCGAAAGGATTTGTTCTTTACATCTCATGTATAGAGTAAAAAGAAGTAACTTTCGTAAAAAGCTGAGATTTATAATTAAAATTAGTAAAGTTTTTGTGTTGATTCATAAAAGTATTCAGTACGGAGTTACATATGAAACAGTATATCGAGTATAGATACGGTGTTGCTGGCCCATATGCTTTTTTAGTTGAGATTTTCCATGAACGTTTTGTTTAAAATTTGCTGAATTTCGCTGATATACGGCTCAATTTTCTCTAAGGTGTGTAGTGTTATGGTCTCGTTGACACACATGAATCTTATTCTAAAAATTCCCAAAGGGAAAAAACTTAACGGCATAGTGTGTGTGAATTATGCGACTAATTCTGATAATCAAAACGGGAAATCACACGATTAGTACGTTTTAAAATATTGCTCAACATTGAAAACGCATTGTACTTGAGCATAGTAGTAAAAATTCGTAATATAGATAATGCACTTCGCTATAGAGAGGTTATTTTACGAAGAAAATCTTGAAATGTTCAAGGTTCCAGGAAAAAGTTCGCTGTATAGAAAAGTTCGCAATATAGAGGTTCGACTGTATTTATAATTTAGTTTCTTAAAAAAGGATGGATTTCAAAATTTTTTATTAGGAAATCAAATTATTCAAATACGACTGTGGCTTCTGTTTTTGTTCGTCATAAACTCATTAAGCTGCACTTGTTTTTAATCTCAGTAATCAATCGAACATAATAAATTTTTTTATTTGAACTAGATTCGAGAAATTGATTTTCTGAAAACTAAGATTTTTGCTTGTTGTAGCTAAAAAAATCGAATAGTTTTGAAAGAGTTAAATAGATTAACTTATAACAAAAAACACATGAAAGTATATTTACAATTTTGTTTAGAAAAGTCAATACTTGAGTGCAAATTAAGGTATCCGACTAGGTTCGGAGATAAATTTTTCAAAAATTGATTTTCTGAATAATTTTATTCTTTTAACGAACACAAATAGGCTTAAGAAGTCATAACTATTAAATAACTAACATGTATCGCCTTTCTTTTGGAAAAAAAATTATTTTTAGGAAACTTTAGAAAATTTTTTTAAGTTAAGAAAAACGTGATAAATAAAAATAAATTGCACATTATACAATTTTCACGTCATTGATATACTTCTTTGATCCCCCTGAAGTGTCACAAACCGCAGGATAAAAAATATTTTATTAGCATTTAAATTTGATGGTCATGATTTTTCGTCAAAATTGCTGCATGTTCTAAGCTAAAAATGGCTGTAAAATGTGATTAAATGTAGCTGTCTTAAAACATGCGGTTTGTTACACTCTGAAGGGCCCATAGTATATATGTTATAAATTTCATCGCATTTGATTGGATTATTTAGAAGATATCCCGTTTTTCGTGTACAAATAATCATAAAAATTTCATTCTTCGAAAAACGAATTAAAAAAAATATTTTTAT